GGTAGAACTAGTGAAGGTGCAATGGCAGCACCGCAAGGGTTCGGAATGGACTTGGGAGCCGATGGACGAGATGATGGAGCATTACCCCGAGCTGTTTCAGGATCGAGCAGCAGACTTCGAGGACGAAGTCTAACATAAGTGGGGGAGATTTGTAGCACCTGGTTTCCGGTATGTGAATTTTATTTGAGTATTTCCCTATTTTAGCCTTGGACTCGGCGAGTCTCAGGACACGTTTAAGTTAACGACTCGGCGAGTCACCGCTGCTGGATGAAACCCTAAATTTCAAGGGTTTGCACCCTATTTAAACCCTCATTCCGCCCCAAACTCGTCCCCATTCACCCCCAGAACTCCCAACCTCGTTTATACCCTTATTTCCTTGAGAGATTGAAGTGTTTTGGAGTGTTCTTGAAGATTTTGAGGAGAAAGAAGAGTAGATCAAGAAGAGGAGAAGGAGACCAGGCATCTTTGTGTCATCTCAACGTTTTCCTTGAGGTATAGCTCGTTTCCCCTCTGTTTTCAAGCTTGTAATCTCTTTTAGCTTCATATGAGTCCTTCTTGGGCTCTTCCCCAAGCTTGTTTGTGCTTTGTGGGTTGTAATAAGTTGTTAGCCTTTAGATCTAGGCATGATTTAGTCCCTGGAGCTTGGATCTAATGCCTTTATGGGGTCATATTGCATGAAAGCCCTAGATCTACCTCTTTTGGTGCACTTTGAGCCTTAAAATCCATATTGGTGAATATCTACACGTAAAGTTGGAAACTTTACGTGTGATTTGTGTCCTAGAAGCCCAGATCTGTGAATGGCATGGACTGGAATCGAGCAAATCGGTGTATTTGATGGATGCATGGCTGCGACTCGGCGAGTCGTATATGTGACTCGACGAGTCTGGTCGCGAGTCACTGAATTGGTCCCTTTATGATGTATCGAGTTGAGCCGTGAGTCACAGGGGGTGACTCGGTGAGTTGGAAGCTGAACTCACTCATGATAGGACTCGGCGAGTCAATGCCCTGACTCGGCGAGTCCAAGGCAATCTTCATAGATCAAGAACAGACTCGGCGAGTTGTTCATACAACTCGGCGAGTCTTAGCATAAGTGTTCTTCGGATGAAGACGAACTCGACGAGTTGTTCATACAACTCGGCGAGTAGGATGAAGAGGTTGAACGTCAGTCTAGAAGATGAACTCGTCGAGTCATAGCCTAACTCGACGAGTAGAAACAGGGACTCAGGACAATCGTCTGATAGGGACTCGGCGAGTCGGGTCAACTGAAAGTTGACTCTGACATTGACTTAGAGCTAGACCAGGGGTAAAATGGTCATTTTACCAAAGGACAGTTAACAGTGTTTGATTGAGTATGTTGTGGGAATTGCAGCCGGAGGATTTCCGGAGCAGCAGCAGTCAGTTAGTTCCCGATCAGTTCAGCAGCTACTTTGAGGTGAGTTACCTTCCAGTAGTGGTGGGTCTAAGGCCACAATGCCGGCCCACCAGTAGGGACGTATGATAGATGATTGTCTTTGTGATATCATCTAGGTTTGCTATTACCTAATATGTTATATGCTATCATGATACGTTATATGCGATAGTAGTAGAGTTCGGTTGTTAGGACCGCAGGGTAGTCAGATACCCCAGAAACGTCTGACAGTATGTGATGATATGTTTGTATGTTGGCTGTTATGTTATGCGATAGAGGTAGCAGGAGGGGACCAGTCCTCGAGGATCGGTTGTTAGGACCGATGGGTAGTCAGCACCCCAGAATGGCTTGACATGGGTAGTCAGCACCC